CACACACACACACACACACACACACACACACACACACACACACACACACTATATGAGAAATAGATTTCAATTATAACAAAATAATGTTTTGGGCCAACAAGAACCTATTGGTCCATCTTGGCTGTCCCATCCACTAAACTAAAACTATTAAATAAATAAAAATATTAAAGCCGACCTTTATCGTTTAGATAGTTATTGAGCTTTCTCTTAAACTCATTTAAATTTACTGCCTCCACAACATCCAGAGGCAACTCAGTCCAAAAGCCAACCACCCTGTTAGAAAAATAAAACTGTCTTAGCTGAAAATGACTCCTACCCTGCCAAATACTTATATTTGTGTCCCCTAGTCATATTATTCTCAATGTTAAGTATGAAAAAAGATGATGCATCAACACTATCAATTACTTTAAAATTTTAAACACCTCAATCATATCCCCTCTAACTCTTCTCTTTTCAAGAGAAAACAATTTGAAAGATCTCAGCCTTTCCTCCTATGACAACCCCTCCATCCCAGGCACCATTTTAGTACCCTCCTCTGACCCCTTCCCAACAATTCAGTGTCCTTCCTTAGGTAAGGAGCCCAAGATGGAATACAATACTCCAAAAGTGACCTAACCAACATACAATGAAATCATAACCTCTATAGACTTGTATTCAATATTTCTGTAAATACAACCAAAAATCCTATTTGCCCTGCTACTAGCAACAGTGTACTGCTTGGATGGCTTAAGAGACTGAACCACCATTACACCAAGATCGTTTTCTTTCATGATGCTGTTAAATTTATTCCCATCCAAATTATACTTATAATTCAAATTATGATAACCCACATGAATTATCTTGCATTTATCATAATTAAAACTCGTTTGCTATTTATTTGCCCAACTCAATAAATGATATAAATCCTTTTATAAATCAGCAGCATCCCCTTCACAGCTAGCCACACCCAATACCTTAATATCTTCTTCAAATATAAGTAATCTATTGACCATTCTTTGATCTATGTCACTGATGTCAATACAAAAGGGCAAAGGTCCTAAGACTGAGACCTGAGGTACCCCACTTGTAACACTAATCCAGTTTGACTGAACTTTATTTATAACAACTCTCTATTTTCTTCATTACAGTAACCTGTTTTTCTCTATGGGGTGCGTGAAGTACCTCAGGCTTTTTCAAATGAGAGTCACTGTTGTTAGTGTTAAAAAATATTTCTCACTGATTATTTTTGTTTGTTAAGCACAAAGCTACATAATAGGCTATCTGTGTTGTTCCCACCAAGGGTATCGAAACCCGTTATTAGCCTTCATACTTATTGCTGTATCAGTGAGGGACATTACTCATTGAAGGCATGGTGTTAATTTCATAGGGTGTTTAGGCTGAAATATACACCCCCCTCTCCAAAATAAAAAAGAAATTTCTAATTTAAAATGGTACCATCCCATGTATATTTGCTCACACATTTTTAAGTAATAACCTGCGTTGTTTGCTCGAGTTTGTTTTTTTGTTATTATTCTTTATTCTCATTTTTTCATCTACTTGATCCTGTGAATGCTTTCCCTAATCTTGGTTCCTCATTAAACTTATAATAACATTATTCTAACTAGAAGATCTAAGAAGGTTTAACAAGCTTACTTTGTAATTACAATCCACTGAACTGATATTAAAATACTGAATAGTCAGTTTTTTAAATAAGAAAATTAGCTGGTCATTGGGATTATTATGTGCAGATAGTCCTTTGTATAGTTTTGCACGAAAATTCTGAAACAAACAAATACATAGTTATTGCTTATACTCATCAAAATCTAAGAAACCTAAACCAATTGTATTATACGATTTGCCTAATGAAAAAGTAGAATCTTCATACCTTCGAGAGTTATCTCTTATCTCTGATAAGTTATTGATGTTACTTATTCTGCGCTGGATGGAGCACAGATAGCCTCTTGTACAGCTTTGTGCTATTTCAAACAGACAAATAACCCACTGAAAGAATTTATTGATTATTACAAAACAACAAGCTAAGTTGATATTCAAGGTTTTTAAAAAATGGCTATATTTAGTTTAATAATTGTTTTGCATATTTCATCATATTTCATTATTGACTTTACAGAAAGGAAACGATTCATTTTACTTGTTGATACAAAGAAAGAAACTGAGCATTGGAATTTATGAAATGGTCTGAAGATAAAAAGAAAATTAACATAAGCCACGAATTATGCTGTCATAAGGTTGAAGATCTTTAGTTCAGATTTATAATGATAATAATAATAATAATGAAAAACTTGGAACTTAAAAGTGTGTTTTGAAAGAGAATCCATAAAAATATATTTATTCAAAATGTCATCTAAAGATTACATAGAGCTGATTTCTTCCAAAATCCCACGGCGGAAATATCTTCGTGGAGGTGAAAAAGTTTGTGAAGTGTGTTATAAGCAAACAAAAAGTCCTTCTGATTTAGAAAGACACATGCGAATCCATACAGGGGAAAAACCATTTTTCTGCTTAGAATGCAAAAAAACATTTAAATCCAAGAGAAGTCAGGAAAGTCACCAGTTTATCTGTCATGGGATCACACATGGGATGTCTGCAACCAGGATTGCTCTACTTAGCAACCAACAAAGAAAACAAATCAGTTACCAACATGCTGAGAATGATGTTAGTGATGAATGTACGGTTTTCTGTCCATCAGTGTTGGCTAAAAGTAACACCATAGAGGAAAATGTGGAATTTAAAAATACTTGTACTTCAAATGAATCATGTGCAACTATTTCAAAAGCTATGAAAGGGGAAATGTCAAAGCATGCAGAAGAATTGGAACATTTAACTGCAAAAGACCAGAGTTTAATGCTTGAAGTAAATACAAGAATTACTTCATCTTTACCTCAAGGTATAAATGAAAGTAATCATGCCACTGTACAAACAGAAGAATCAGAGAGTGATAATTCTCTGATGTATGGAATTTCAGTTGGTGATGATACTATGAAAAAAACTGAGAAAAAGGAACTTGGAGTCTTAGAAAAATATCACAATAAATTTCATGATGATGGCATAGCATTCTCTGGTGATTCAGCAGTCACTTTAGATCATCCACATCAAACAATCCTTAATCCTTATGTTTGTGACATTTGCCACAGAGATTTTAAGTCTGCTTACAGTCTTAATTACCATTTAAGAGCAGCTCATGGTAGAATGGTGGAACTAATTCCTGCTCTTGAAATGCGATTGGCAAAAAGGAAAAGGTGTAGATCCCTGACATCACAACACATTTTGCAATCAAAAATGAATACTGAAATATCTGTAAAGCATAATGAACTTCAAGTATTGCCTTCATTCTCTCACAGTAACAATATTATTAAAACTGTTAGTAGTTCGGTTGTATCTGCACCAACTTTTACTTATGGTACTGGTTGTTACAATAAGGTAAATTGCAAAGATTTTTTAGATCAACAGAATTCAACAGACTTTAACCACAACCAAACAACTGATATAGTTAGTGGTCATCTCACATCTCCTTACAGCAGCTCACAAAGCTTTGATGAAGATAATGAAAAACAGGACCGAGTTTCTGGATCATTGCAGATTTTATTGCCCAATTTTTTACTAAGTGGTGGTGTCATGACCAGAGATTCAGCAACAGTATGGCAAACAGTGACAATCCAAACAGAAACTCCTGTTGCTAGCAAACTTGAAGGAGTTCATTCAAACACAGGGCAGCGATTTGCTCTCTATAAGTGCTGTCTTTGTGGAGATGCTTTTCCTGGACTAAGACTGTTATGCTCTCATCTAGCTGTCCATAATCAGACAAGTAAAGATTATGATTGTGAGAAGTGTGGTGCAGTATTCAAGTGGCGAAGTGAATTTGACATTCATCAACGTGTGCATCGGGTGACTGATAACAGAACTACACCAACCCTAACAGACAGTAGTCAGACAAGAGGATTAGCCTCATACACTGATGAATTATATGATTCTGTCACAAACATAGCATCATCTGTCTCAGTTACGGATGATCATATTCCAAACATTGCTAGGTGTTCACAGATAGCTACTAACTCTGATGTTGATTTGTGCACTTCAACAGTTACATCCAATTCCAGTGCTGAAGACAAGAAAGCACTAATACCAGATGATTCATCAAAAGCAAAGGATCCAAAACTCGTTAAGTCTGTATTTCAATGTAGATACTGCCCAAAGTCCTTTGATCGTGTTTTCTCAATGCAGAGACATGAACGAATCCATACAGGTGTGAAGCCATGCTACTGCAAAGAATGTGGTCGAGGGTTTAGTGAAAAGCGCAACTTGAGGCACCATATAATTCGTTTCCATTCAGAAAGTAACCAGAAAGAAATTCTTCGAAGAGGCCGAGGAAAATCACGTGAAAAATGCAGTAATAACTCATTAAAACGTGTTTCATTCCTTAAGAAAGCTGCAGTTAGAATTCTAAATTCTGTGGATCAGCAAAAAATAGAATCATCTATAACAACAATTGGATCCCATGGTAGTTCAGATCCATCTCAAGAGAATATTACATGCCCTAAATCAAGAAGATATACAGAACCGAAAGGTAGTTCAGAGCAAAGTTTTATCTGTAAAAAAGAAACAATAAGTATGTGTGAAAATAATAACTTTCAGTCTGACCTAAATATAAACTTTATAGAGAAAACACTGGAATCCTTTACTCCTAATCATTCAATACTACTATTTGATCAGAACAAAAATGATGGATATTCAAACACTATTCAAGAAAAATCAGATACTCCATACAGCTCACATGAACTAAATGAGAAGGAACTTCTTAAGGATCCAAAACGGTCTTTGATTGGAAACCGACGAAAAAAACATCCACTTCGTCTACTGAGAAACCAAGCTGATCTTAAACATGGTAGTCAACATATTGAAATAACATCTCAACCGAAGATAGAAAATTACAACATGACAACAGAAGCAGATAGCAAGCAAGACATGAAACAGTCATCACCTTTGGAGTCAATAACTGATGTGGGTATGTAGAGATTATGTTTTTTGTATTACTGAAAGTTTTGAAAGAAATATAACAATCACATTTAAAATACACGTATATGATTAGACACAATACTTTTCTTTGATGTTCCACAATAATGCAAAATTAAGTGACAATGCTATTTTTCAGTAAATTTGTATAGAAAATAGAAAAGGTGTCATTGTGGTACCAATACTAACTATAATTTACCTTTCTAGAATCACTAGCATTAGTGTTTTAGGTAAGTAAATAAATAGATGTTGACAAGGACCAAAGCCTGAAGAATATACTAGGTGGAAGAATAATTGATGTGATATTAATTAAAAAATATCGTTAACAAAATGGATTGTTTTCACCAATGAATTAAATATTTTGCAGTTTAGGTTTGTGATAATGTAAAAAAAGCCATGCTTGCTGAAAAAAGTACAAGGTGCATATAAAGTTACCTTACGCATTTGTTGGTCATAACTTCGGACTTGTAAAACATGTTAATGGAAATGAGTGTACATACATTGATAGGGAATGTATTTCTAGAATTTGCAGTTTTGACATGTGGAAGTGTCACTAATGCTGTGTGACACCATCTCTGACATTATTTCCTCTGTATGTAAGCACACAAAGTTGTTAGATGTGTTAGAGATGCCTGTGAAAAGTGACTCTCCAAGATTGCTTAGCACTTGTGAAGTTTTATATAGTGATTAATGTAACACTGGGGCAGCTTTGTGTTTTGTTATGACAGAGATGTTTGTACATAAATTTAAAGAGAAAAAAATCTGTGGTTCATGCACCACAATGAGGATTTGCACTTGTGAAGTTTTATATAGTGATTAATGTAACACTGGGGCAACTTTGTGTTTTGTTATGACAGAGATGTTAGTACATAAATTTAAAGAGAAAAAAAATCTGTGGTTCATGCACCACAATGAGGATTTGCACTACACCAGTGGAAGTTATTGTACATATTTTCACAAGTTAGTTGAGTGTATATTATATATACAGTGTTTCAAAAACACCATACAAACAAAGGTGAGGTGGGCAGCACCTGCCTAGCAGAGTGACACTTGTAGGGAAAATCTTTGAGGACTAATCTACCTGAGCTACTTTTGTAGATTAGCCTTCCAATCTGAATTAGGTGGTTGTTGTTGCATATTTCAATTATGTTTAACAAGTGTAATGAAGCATTGGACAAGGCAATCCCAAAGGAGAATGAAATGATGATTTAAGATTTTTTTTAATTGATTTATTTAATAGTTTAGTTTAGAGGATGGGACAGCTGAGATGGACCAATAGGTTCCCTTGTTGTCCCAAAGCATTATGTTGCCAGATGTACTAGGTGATCCCAGCAATCTATGTGGAAGACTATGCAAGACATTAAAACTATTTTCAATACAAGATTGAAAAACTGTAGGCATTGCATCCTGCCAACACAGAGAAGCTGTTGAACTTTGCCTTGGAATTCATTGCCCAAGTTCAAGTGGATGACAATTGGCTTGACAATATCTTGTGTCCTGATGAAGCTATCTTCTATATCCACAGCTAAGTCAACACCCACAACTGAATTATCAAGTGTGAGATCAGTACACATGCATTTGTTGAAAGGTCTCTTTGTGTGGGTTGGGTTTCCAGCAGTATCATCATTCACTTTTACAGATCTACAGATCATCGTTTATGAACTCATATCACCGGTGCACCTTATCCACACGTTAGTTAACGTAGTGCTACCTTCCTTACATGAGAGAGGTATTCAACAGGACAGTGTGTTCATGCAAAATGGTGGAAACCACATGCTACCAGTACTGTGGAGAATGAGCTATGCAATGATTTTTGTGAATCAATCATCACTAAGGAATTCCTAGTTGCATGGCTAAAATTTTCAGCAGATCTTGCATCTTTAAATTTCAGGTTTTGCGGCTATCTGAAAGCAATTATCTACCTTCACTGTAGTCCATAGGCAACTGTTGATTTTAAGAACAGTATTCATTGCCACATTCTTGCCATCCAAGGTAATCAGCTGTGCACAGTTGTGTACCACATATTGTCACATCTAATAATAGTTGCATAGGTGGCTAAAATGTTATACAAGTAAAATATTCTTCTTTTAACTCACCATGACAGCTGATTTTGTTGTGTTAATAAATATTCTTTATATTTTCATATAAAATTTCTGCATCATTCACGCATTGAAAGTTAAATTTTATAGTAGGTAATGGAAATAGTTAAAATCAAGAATACTGTGATATTCAAGAATTGAATAAAAGAAAAAAAATGTTCAGAAAATGAATTGTAACAATATGTAAGTGGTTAAATGAAAGGTACATAGTTCAAGTGAATACAAATAAAAATAGGCTTTATTTGTAAAGGTATCAGTAAATGCAAAAGTGAAAATTAAAATAATATATATATATATATATATTTACCCTTACCATTCCTAACTGAGCATCCTCTGATGGGGACAGTGATAAGTCTTCTGATTTACAATGCTGAAGATCTGGGGTTTAATTCCTCATGGTGGACACTGCAAGATAGCCTAATCTGGCTTTCCTCTAAAACAAGCAAACAAAGAAACCTAACTGAGTATTGCCATAAAGAGTAATTAATGGCTCTAGGGTTAATTTTGTGCTTGGCTTGAACGGGAATTAGGAAATTCCGAACTAGATCTCTAACAAAATTTGAATCTTTTGCCACCATATCAAGGACACAGGCTCTAAAAAGATGAAGTATGTGATATCTGTACACCAAAACTCCTTTCTCCCCTTATTTTATATCATGAGATGGCCCTTCATCAGACAGTCTCATATAAAACGTGAGTCATCTAATACATATGAAAATTCAAGTCATTGGTTTGACTGGACACTGAAATCACACAAAATATGGGAGTGCATTGTATAAACTATTTGTGCATAATATCTGCTGGCAAAAAATGACCTTGATCACCAAAAGTCATCTAGTTGGTTGGTTAACATATGACTTTGCAGGACAACCATTTTTTCTGTAGTTGAGTACAATAGTAAGGTGGTACAGCACTTTAAATACATGACAAGATATAATATGTGAAAAAAGATGTGTAAAACTTCAAACCATTGGAGGCTGCATGGCAACTTAGCAGTCCATTCATGGGCTAGATTTCTAATTAACAACAGGATTTCAACAGCATCATAGATAGTATTGATCTAATTTCATGCTTAGCTTCCATAAAATTTATATACACTGAACTAGAATTCTAGCAAAATTAAAAAGTTTATTGCCACATTGAATATGTAAACTATAATTTAGTATATATATTTATATGCTTACTTAAATGACAGATGTCCAAAGTATTGGTTTCAGTATAACTACTCATTTAAATACTATGCAATCCAGGATTGTTACTCAAACATGGAAAATAATGTTTCTCTGTGCTGAGAATGTTCTTGTTGTTGGGCAAAAAAGGGAAAATAATAAAACTTTGTATATTATGCTGTAAACCTTTTAGCTGTGATATGTTTTTAAGCCATGACACGTTCATTACAGTTAAAACATCCAAAAAAACATGTTAATTTTCAATAGCATGTTTTGACCTCAACTCAAAATGTTTTTAGTTGCTATTTTGCATTAAAATTTTAATTTTATTTATTAATAATTTTGCTTATATTACATTGAAGAAATATTTACACTGGGGGAACTTTCCTTAAGTTACAGTCTTTTCAACATCACAAGACACACATGATGTACTTATAATATTGTCATACATTTGGTCTGGCCAGATTTTGTGACAGTTATTTCCTCTTTCTGATGTGTGTATATCCTGTTTTACTTGTATCATTAAAGTTAAAATATTATGAAGTCAGTTTTTGAAAGCCCAGTCATATATCCTTCACCTCACAATACCAGTTTAAAACTTCTGATAGAATTGTTACCTTAGGAGTAGACATTTCTGGTCTTGTAACTGTTGAAAAGTAATTGTACTTCCAAGTTAGTAGCAGTAGTGCTTATAGTCTGCAAAGTAACAATGGGTAGCAAAAGCTGTTGAATGTTTTCCACTTCATTCTTAATTTCTGTATTAACTCTTAACTCATTACAGGAATGAAAGCTGAAAACTGTGGTGCTCAAGTTAACAGTAATTTAGCAGGACAGCATGGAGCATTTTTCTCTAGCTATAATCCAAGGTTAGTATTGGCAAGAAAATATAGCAAATATGCATTTGCTGCATTCCAAGGTTGGTTTTGGAAAGAAGCTTGTAGCATTTTCCTGCCATTAGCCACCTTCGATTGTAACCCATTACGATGCAAGGCAAAAGGAACAACATATTTATTAAACTACTTAATGCTTATACTGTTTTAGAGATTACCGGTTCAAAGTTCAAAGGATTCAACATAAAATATATTGAAACTACAACAAGCACTGTTATTTTTATAAAGTTTACTTGCTAGTTTGGCATAAAAAACAGTGTAATATTTTTCAAGAAAATGGTTTTATTGTTCCTTTGTGTTTACCAAGATATCTTTTGGTAACAGTTTATTTGTTCATTAATATTTTTTTTACAGGCTAGGGGTAATAAATAAACCTATAGTAAGAACCAAAGCATGTAATCCACAGATTGGACCAGATGGAAAGTTTGTTTACCCATGTAGCTACTGTCATAAGACTTTCTGCTCAACCTCAGATTTAAACCGACACATGGATTTCCATGAAGGTAGATATAAAACATGATCCAAGTTTAAACATAATTTTTCCAATTGATATTGCTGTGTGTCTTTGAAGGGTTTGTTCAGTGACTGAACTAATGAAAATAATTTAATTACATTAATGGTTAACTAATTAGCATTATGAAAACTAAATTATACCATCAAGCTATTCTTCCTGCATTTACATTTATTAAACAATTATACAGATAGAACATTTGTTTATTTTAATCTAATTAGTGTTAGATGGAGGTAGAGATTTCCACCAAAATGAAATTCTGTAAAGCATGTAGATAATATTTAAGTGCTCCAAGAAGTATTCATTGAAGGTTAAGGTGTGGTATTCAAGTTCACTGATAACCTACAGAGTGTAAACTATCTGAAGAATGCAGGTTCCAGAAATGTTTTGCAGAGGTTGATTCTGGACAGAAAAAGAAAGACAAGCAGATAAAAGTGAACAAATGAATAGAATTTTTATTCACACACTGTATAAGTTTTAGCGTAGTTGCCAGCTTCTAGTTAATTCTATAACTTCTATAACAGGATCAAACTAACAACACATTCACAAAGGACAAAGACCAAAGTAAGATCAATGATGTTAAGTCAGACCAAAGTCCTGATGTGGTATCCCACAATTTTTAGATTGTTTATGTCAGTGATAATTCCCATTAAATTTATTGAAGGAACATCAATCCCCAACTTGTACTAACTTGACCAAGTCTCTGTACATCTTGAAATGATTATGACCTCACTTCAAGAGGGCATGACACTGAAACATTGCCAAGTAAGCACATAAACTTTATAGAACAGTTACTGTAGTATGTAATTTTTGTTTAATGTAAGGGATTAGTGTAATACCACCATCACAATGCACACACACAATTTTGGTTAAAATATTTGAAATATAAATTTGTTTACAATTTATTTTTATCTTTCTTGTTTTATTATAATGGTTATTCTGTTTTGTTAGCTTATTATATGTAGTTAAAACTAACCTAAACTTCCTAAACTGGTCAAACCTCATGAGATATTGAGTTTATAGCTGAAAATATCATTAACAGTGAGGGGTAACCAACCAGTGAAGTAATATAGTTTGAACATTATATTTAGTTAGTTATGCTCATTTCTAGGTATATTTTTTTTCAGTTCTGATCTATTTAGATATCTTTTTTTTTATCAGAAATAAATAACATTTGGCTTACAAGTCACTAATAATTAGTAGTGCATCCATAAAACCTGCCCCAAAATGTAGAAAAGCGACTTTTTCCTAGTTATGGAATAGTATAATATGATATTTCAAATCATCACATAACTTACACTGTGATGATACTAAGTGTATGGTGTAAAATATTACTTAAGTAAGATGAGTTTATTACTCTGCTAAAATTACAGCTTTCCAAGAAGGTTTCACTGAGTTAGAATATAATTCCAAATAATTTGTATTAACTGAATAGATTGTACAAAAACATGTTTTGTCTGTTGAAGGAACAAGCTTTATTAATATGTAACAAAGTAGATAACACAGTTGGTATTTTCATTCAAGATAACACTGATTTCAACTTACTGTTGTTTCTGTTGAAAACATATTAGCTTGAATATAATTTAAATTAATAAAGCTTATAATTTCTGTCAGAGTAACATGGTGTTAGCGCTGTTCTGTGTCAGGTTTCAAGACTTGTTTTTAAAGGCTATTTAGCAGTTTGTCTTACTTAATTGTACCCAAGAGATGTTATTGTTTTGCACATTTAAGAATTTAGACTCCCTGTTTCCTGCTCCTTCTTTCACTAAAGCTTCCTCTCCTGAGGACTCATCTGATAAGCCACCTTCTGCCCTTTCTTTGCAGTTGGTGACATGTGCTTGTGAAGTTTTGGAGATGCAACCAGTTGCTTTTGAGTCTATCCCTTCTTTGTTGTCCAATCATTCTCAAGGGTTTACTTAGTTTTTCTTCCTTCTCCTGATATTGCTGAGGGTATCACTATGCTGCCCCCCCCCCTATTTATCTGAACAACATGCCCTGGCACATCATCATCAGGATGATATATATTTGGACACTCAAAGGTTGAATCTATTGGATGCCAAGTATGAACCTGTTATCTCTCTTAACAGGTCACAATTTTTGCAGATTCGTTTAACTCTTACTACTGTTTTAAGATACTTAAAGCATATCACCAATTGCATCAACAATTTGACGATGAACTGGGCCTTTTACTGGTCACTACTATGACACGTTTGTCCTCTTCAGGACTTGCCTTGGTGTTGTGGTTGGTTTGTTACTGGGACTTGTTGAGTCGTGATGCATTTTTAGAGGATATTCACTTACCTTCTTCTGCCCTTTAAGATTTATGGGAAGCACTTCTTCTTTGGCCTTATTTATTTGCTGGAATTCCAGAATATTTAGAAGCCAGAGTTGATACAGCACATTTGCAGTCTTCTTTATCCTCTTTGGCTGCTCAACTCTATTCTACTTTCACTGGTACTTCTGCAGGTTCATCCTTTCGTGTCTCCAGGCCCCTTCCTTCCACTACTCATTTCATTTGTTCTCTTAATCGTTTCCATCCTTATTTTCAAGAGATATTTTGTGGGCCAGTACTTGGACTTCTCCCGACACGTTAATATCGCATTACCTTCACGACATGGCAGTTTTCTCTTTGAAGGGACGTCGTCTTCCCCCTGTGGCTGTGTTATTGTTCTTTTCCTTTCTAGAGTCCCTATTGATTTCTTTTCAATCCCACTCAGTGGCAAGTGTTGCCCAGTCGGGTATGCTTATATTCAAATTCCACACTAGCAACCTTTATATCGATTCCTGGTTGCAATGGGCTCTGTCGAGATGAGGTGTTCTGTAAGACCATCTGGACGCAATTCTGGATGGTGATATCATATTACAATATTTCTAATGGAGTTACTCATGGACTATCATGAGTAAATCTAAAGGGGATTTTGCCGGTACCAGCTGATCTTAGAGTTCAATCAGTTGAGCTCAGTTTGCTTTTGAAAATTAGGGAACTTGGTTCACCTATTGCACTGTCTCCAGAGACCTGTTCTTCAGGACTCTCCAATGCTTATGTCCCCCCCTTACTTCTACTAGTAGAGCTCGGGAGTCCTTACCACACCCAATTCTGGATGGTGATATGATATTACAATATTTCTAATGGACCGTTACTCATGGACTATCATGAGTAAATCTAAAGGGGATTTTGCCAGTACCAGCTGATTTTAGAGTTCAATCAGTTGAGATCAGTTTGCTTTTGAAAATTAGGGAACTTGGTTCACCTATTGCACTGTCTCCAGAGACCTGTTCCTCAGGACTCGCCAATGCTTATGTTCCCCCCTTACTTCTACTAGTGGAGCTCGGGAGTCCTTACCATACCCAATTCCCAGTCACTGGAGTGGTGGGCAGAGGATTTATCTTTGGAGTGTTGAAGGAGAAGAGGGCAAAGTTGGGGAGCAGGACCAACCTACATGGGAGACTACTTGTAAAACCAGTCCAGATTTGACACTTAGCTATCTGGTGGGGGTGCTTTTCAGGTCTTATGTTGTTCATGCAGGGGGTCCACTATCTCCTCGTAAATTCAAACGCGACATGGTCCCATCTTTGGTCCTTGGTGGGACAGTATTCCACATCCTCTCCTTAATTCCATGGGTAAGCAGAATTCTCCTTGTCCACTTGGTGGGGGAGTAAAGACAACTGTTTGTAAATCCAGACTAGATGAGTTCTGGACTTTGGTGGAGTTTGGCATATGATCCCATCAATCTAGATTTTGAGATGTTGCCTTTTAGACTTCTTCAGGTTGATCAAAAGGATTCTCCATATTGGTGTTTCGTTCTTTCTTTCATAAATCCAGTGGTTACTGGTAGAGATCCTATCACAAAGATATATATCTACAGTCCAACTGCCCTGGCCACCAATGTGGGATATGGGTACCATGACCCCTTAAATCCAACCTGAGTTGTGAAACCTCGGCTGTTTGATCAGGGCTGGACCATCATACTTGTATTATATTCCACCCTTTTGAATTTTCTGTAGTTCTGGGTGAAGAGCATACTTGTTCTGGATGTAGTGCGGTGTTTCCCACTTTGGTACCACTTCTCGTGGTACATAGTTGTTCTCTGCAGATGCTTTCTGTATGATCTCTGTCCTCACTGGCCCCTACACTTTCTCAATGTGGGATTCTAGCTATTAGTGTCAGGTAAGTATGTTTTGGAAGTTATTATTTTCCTGAACTGAAAATGCATTTCCAAACATACTTACCTCCACTGACACTCTCACTCCCTTCCTCCCCACTAACAGCCAGTGTTAGTGACCAGAATGTGGTAAGTCTTGAAAAAGTGATTTTATTGTCTGCATACAGTGCTTTATAGAGGGCATGTGAGGGGCATCATAAAGTTTTGCAAATTAGATATTGCCAAGGGCAGTCAAGTACCGTATTTATATAAAGACTGGAGTGAGCGAACACAATGAAAGATGAAGATCAAGAAATAGCTATTAGTGTCAGTAGTGTAAATATATTTGGAAATACATTTTCAGTTTAGGAAAATGATAACTTTAATAAGAGTTTGCTAGTACCAGACAATTTGAACTTCTGTCAGCAGTTGCATTATCACACGCGTATGAAGTTAGCTTATTGTACACGTATACAAAAATCAATATTAAACCTAAACACTTTATACTACAAGACCAATTCCAACAACTAATTTACAGTCAAACAGTTAACTTGATAATTATAAACATTCTTAAGTATTTTAACATTTACAATGCTCTTAATTAACATCACGTTTGTTAAATACACAAATTTAATCACAAAGCAAAATGTACTGTAAATGTTCAGCTAACAGATGCATAACAAAAAATCGTTAATATTATTGACCTAAGGAAAATACAGTGTATCAGCATTCTGTGGCTACCATTGGTCAAATCATTATTTATTCTACCAACCATGTTACAAAAACCACCAGCCAATCATGTTATGCCCCCTTCAATACTTCTAGATATCATATAAACACCTGCAAAACTAGTCAAGCTGACCTGAAGATGACAGATGAGAGGCTTTTGGAATTTTGATCTACTTTTGTAGATTAGTCCTCCAAAACTTTCTCTGTAAGTATTATTCTAAATTGGGCAATTGCTGTCTGTTTCACATTTGCCTAAATCATATATGAACGAAGTGGAAACATCCTTATTCCAGTTTTGTGCAGGCATGCTTTGTGTTACTGCAATAGCCAGAAGTCAAGTTATATGCAACTTAGAAACTGGGCAGCTTTAGTGTGAATACCCCAAACATTCTTGCAGCATTCTGTCTTTGTTACTAATATTTTCAGGATTTTATAAATAACGCAGTTTTTGGTACAATGTATGAGAAGAAAACTTGATCATTGTGATTTTAGTTATAGAAGTTTTATGACAAAAATACTGGACTTGTATTTATTTTGTAATCCATATTTCATATCAATAAAGAAACAGTGTGTGTATACATACTATAATTGATAGCTTCAGTAAAATAATGGGTAGAGTTAAACCATGCTCTTTAGAGCTACATTTTTAATTGAAATAATCTTCAGATAATTTTTGACTCTTAACAATATGAAATTTTAATAGTTGTGTGACCTGTAGCTCATAACAGTTTCATGTGGAGGCTTTTATATTTCAGTATGATTTTGCAAGATACATAATATTTTGCCACTGTATTTTACAATTTAAGTTCTTTATGTATAACCAGATGATAAATAGGACATTTATTGACTACAGCAGACTTCATTAAATTAATTTGACAACATGAAGGCAAATTCTCTGTCACATGCATATCTCCAATTTGATGAAATTTAAGGGACGTACATCTGGCCAGAAATGTTTTAAATAAATGACAGATACGAAAGTATTACATAGGATGGAGAATGGACTGGCAGTAAGGGAAGTTTGGAATCCAGAATGTAAACAGTGCACTTCTGTTGTCATAATCCTTTAATAAATTATAAGCTGTCATTTCCAGTATGATATTTGAAGTTGAGAACATGTGGTACATATACTTTTGCTGAAAAAGTTCCTATGTGTTTTTAGAATGCAGAGTGTGAGAACTGTGTATCTTGTGAATAAAAATTATATTTTATTTGTTTACTTGTGTTTGCTTCTTTATCCTCTGCCTAACCACATTTGCACAGGTAGGGTTGGGTGGGAGGTCAAAATGTGTATGACATGACCTTGTACAGAATGCCATTAAACATAGTATTATTTATTTGATGTCAGAGTTGTGAACTATTTATTTTATCAAACAATGCTGAACTAGTAAATGTTCATGACAGAGGAGAGTAAATATCAGGAATTCAGAAAAACAACTGTAGAAAGGACTTTCAGAGATTATGCAAATGCAGTTTGTATGATGGACAAAAGTATTTTTATTATTTGCATCAACATCATCTTGCACTCTAACTTGTCCAAGTCAGAATGACATCATCAGAACACAGACATATTTTGAGTAAAAATACCTTAGTAACACATCTGATTTTTTGTGTACAATAGATTTATGTCTTACTAAAACTTACCACACTTCCTGTAACTACACATGGTAAATTTGGAATTATATTAAATAATCATTTGCCAATAAATAGACTAACCCCATGCACATTTGGTTAACAAATACCGAATCTGTGGCACAATATACTTGATACTTTTCTGTTTAACATCAGTGTGTCTAAATACCACAGCTGAACATATTGGCTTAGTATCTGCTCATCTCTTATTAAATCATTTACAGTTCAAAACAGGATTTTAACTGCTATGTAGCAAATTCTTGTTGGTATGTCAGAAAATTTCTTGTTCTCAAGGAAACATTTCTCCAAATTGAAACAACTGATTAGTATTTAATGACTATGACAATTATAATATTAAATTTAAGTTTTTGGCTTGTTTAATAATGTGGAAAAAAGTTTGTCATACAACAGTTTATGTAGAATATTTTAATAAGGAATCAAAACCAAAAATTCAAATTTCCATCTATGTGGCTAACAGAGAATTAAATATTATCATTTCACTGTTTTGTCTTAAGTTGAATACAATTTTATATCATTACAAGTAAAACCTTTAGAGCATGTTCTATGTCTATGTAAAAACAATTAAGCATCAGCTTAACTTTGGTGCTTATTGAACATGAACTTTAAACTTCAAATTTCTTTTACCTTTGTAAAGATAGTCTTTGCAAAACCTTTTAAAAAAGCATTTGAGCAATAAGAGAGAAAAATGAATAAACTATATTTTGTCAATCATGTTGTAAGACAGTTAATTCTTCTTTTATTTTATGGTTTTGTTTACCATTCATTTATTATTCCTTCTATCATTCAGTTGAAATATAAATTTTTAATTATCTTAAAGTGCTAACTTACCTTCTAGAACACATTGAATTTGAGTATGTTTGTATTATGAAACTGATACAATCTTCCCTTTGCAGTGACATACAGATAATGTTGTGAAAGATTATGTAAATTAGCTAGCTACACAAGGTGTAACCTTGTGGTCTAACTACTGAATAAAAAGCCTTCCTTGATCTTAAACAAGTTAGTTCATGAGATTAGTTAGAACTATTGCTAATTGTTACTCTATTGTTATTGATCATGAAGTGGTTTAATTTTGGAATTTTTTTTTTTTAAGAACTAGGTTTTTTTTCTGTTTCTTAATTCCTATATTTATTGAAATTAATAATTTTTACAAACTTTTATTTTCTAAGTGATAAAACTTGTATTGCAATTGTTTGAAAGTTTTATTTTTGGATTTCTGTTGTTGGTACAATTTAATAAGTTGTTTTTTTTGCTCAATTCTGGTTGGCCCGGCATGGCCAGGTGGTTAGGGTGCTCGACTCGCAATCTGAGGGGCACGGGTTCGAATCACCGTTACACCAAACATGCTCGCCCTTTCAGCTGTGGGGGCATTATAATGTGACTGTTAATCCCACTATTCGTTGGTAAAAGAGTAGCCCAAGAGTTGGCAGTGGGTGGTGATGACTAGCTGCCTTCCCTCTAGTCTTACACTGCTAAATTAGGAACGGCTAGCGCAGATAGCCCTCGTGTAGCTTTGCACGAAATTCATAACAAACAAACAAACAACTCTGGTTATAGCTACATTTTGTTTTAGTCTGTTGCAGCCTTACAAATGACACTGAATTGTTGGAAAAGGTTTAGAGGAGGGCTAATACAATGATACTTGGGATGAAAAAATTTTCATACATGAATAGGTTAAGATCTCTGAACTTCTTTTCCAATGAAAGAAGAAGAGCTGAAGGGATCTGATTGAGGTTTTAAGATTGTTAAGGGAATTAATAACATTGAAGCATCATCTGTTTTCATGTTTGATAGTGAGAATAATAAAACTAGGAAACACAGATATAAATTCTGGGAAGGTACGACTTATCTTCAGCTAAGACAGCTTTATTTTTCTAATAGGGTTGTTGGCCTTTGGAACAGGTTGTTTTTAGCTGTGTTATATGCAGTTAGTTTAAGGGAGATTAACCTCTTCCATGATTTACTCGAGTTAATTATGACAAACCATTTCTCCTCCTGTTTTTAATCATTTGCCCAAATATTTTTGTATGTTAACATTTATTACAAACATTGTTTCCTAGATGGCAGTGGGGAGGCTGCTTATGTTGATCTCTATTGGATTTATTCTGAGTTATGAATCATTAACACTAAAAAAAGGCATTCCTCTTCTTGATTGTAGTTTCATTGAAGTAATGTATATCATGTATAAATTCAGATATATAGCATTTATTTATCAACAGTATTTGGTGCAGAAATAAGAGATCATAAAAGAACTTTTGTCTCATTAATATACAAGTCTAGGCTATCAAAAGACTGAAATATAACCTGACCTCTTTTATTATTATTATTATTAGTATGAAAGGGATTAAGGGAAAGATTATTAAATATTGGTATGATAAGAGTTGGCTTTAAGATTTTTAGTGTTTAGTTTAACTTAGTGGATAGGACAGCCTGGATTGACTAAAATGCCCTTTCTTGTCCTTTAACATTATGTTAAATATTAAAATTGTGATTTAAACTCCTCAATAAGTTTAACAAGCATTTTTCTTGCTTTTGTTACTTGAAAGTAGTTAAATCAGTTGCAGACAAGTTTTATATATAATTGGCATTTTACTGGCATCTACTTGCTTTGATATTATCTGTAAAACAAGATTAAATTAATAGCTAACCCATAAAGAGTGTATTATTTTGGAAATGATAGTGCAGTCACTTACATGTCAAAGGTAATATTAAACAAGAATGTTTCCAACTTTTAATTTTTGTTACAGACATTCGTCCCTTCAAGTGCCCTTACTGCACATATTGCAGCAGAACCAACAGTCAACTGAAAGTGCATATGATGAGGCATCAAGGTATAGTTGAGGGGTCTTTAAAACCTAAGGGTATACTTTTAAATGTAAATTTAAAAGATAGAACATTAATAACAATTACGATATATTTTTGAATTCAAGTTGAGAATGTGTTCTTGATATACTTTAATGTTTTAAAAATCTGATTACAGAATTGTCTTCATCAAAAGTCATAGGACTTTAGTAATGCTTTCTTAACTGATACGTGCATAACACTGTAGCTGGTAGATGATGATTTCAGCTTAAGGTAAATAAATAAATAAGTAAAGCTTGTGATGGTTTTTGAACACATCTCCTAACCATTAAATTTTTCAATTAGAATGCAAGTTTACTTTGAAATTTCTGCCTTTATCACACTATCTGAATTACAACATATAAAATCTTTGAAACACCATATACTTGTCATTTTAGAAGCAACAATCATGGCATATGCATGCACACTATAGTGATCTATTGCCAACAAATAGTGGTTTTACTGCTATTATACACACTTATTACATGAAACCTTTGTTGGGCCAGTTTGGAACAAAGTACTTGTGAATGTTATTGTGTTGTTTTATTAGAGTTATTACCATAAAATAACAATTTTTTAAACATCTGTTTATTTATTGGACAAGTGTTTAATTATTTGTCACTATATAAAGAAATGTGTAATTCTCAAATTATTATTTCTTTCATACTATGTAGCAGAAAAGTACAGTTTTTAAATTATTAAAGTCTTAACTGTAATACTGTTTTAAGACATTTTGGTAGCTTAAATCATGAAATGTAATATATTTAAATGTATTATTTACCTTGGTTGTTATGTACATTGTCATACTAGTATACAAGTGGGAATTTCAAAAGTGTTTGCAATTTTTAAAATCTGCATGATCTTATTACCCCTTCACTATGAAAATGATGTAACTTGTGATGACATTAGGTATCTTTAGCTGCAAGATCAGTTTTTGCACAGCGACCTTCAAACATTCTGTACACTTGCCGTTGATATTTTCAGAGACTTTATTATACAGTACATGAATAGTTAGAACACAAGCTTAATAAGGTTTTATACAAAACACTGAACTGTGAATACCATTTTTTACTACAATAACAGTACTCCCTACTGTAAAATTCTGATGAAAACAAAATATGTGAGCTACAACAATTAAGTATATTCAGGTTCATGAATCAGTAAAAATATTATTATTGCTGTTGGTACAAGATTTAATGAGTATTCAAAAAGTTTTTTAGATTGTAGCTTCATAGTTATCTTTGAAAGATATTGACATGCTTGTTATTGTGGAGAAAAGAAAATGTGTACAGAAGTGTCAAGTATTTTAATGGTTCCATGTAATTCTTACAATTCTGAGGTGTAAAAGCTAACTTAGCTTTCACAGTTATGCTGAGCTTACTGGAGACAGCTTAAAATAGCTGACCTCTGGACAAAATGCTTGTTTTAACTATTTGTTGTTCTCTAATATTTGTTTGATCATTTTAACTCAACAATAGAATGCATTATCTTAATTGTCAGATCTAGATGAGTAGTTAAATTTAATTAAATATATAATTATCATAATTACACTCTCATTTGAAATATATTTTACCTGCATCATTATAAGTCTTAGTAATAAGATGGATTGTATAGTATGCATACAGATAGCAACAAATATAAATACATGAGCTTCAAAAGAAGACCACCAAATGTCATGACTAATATTTTTAGTAATATTCTGATGTAAAAGCTAGTAATATGAGTTAGTGCCACTGAAGTCTGAGTACATATTTAAGTACTGAAGAAAAGATGTCTTTTGTATCAAAGCTTTAACCATCTCTAAATTACAGTGCATACATCCTTGCGAGTTGTATTAAAAACAACCAAAATATTAGGCTTTGATATCACAGACCTAAGGAAAGAGGGACCAATCATCAGCCTGTTACTCTTAAAAATTAGTGAAGCTAGCTGCCGTGACAACTAGTGTGACAAAAAAAAAAACAAGTGTGAGAGTGTATTGTATTGTTTAAGAAATATTTCTGGTACTTTAGTTGTTAATTGTTTCAAGTTGCAGGAAATAGAGATTTTCACAGACTTTTTTTTTTCTTGTACAATAAGTTTATATTGAATGAAATCAGTCCTTTCAGATATTTGTTAATATACAAGTACAGTCAGGAATTGTTGATTGGTGCAGTTAGACAAGTTTTTTGTTCCATTGACAACCCAAAAATCATCATGTGCAAAGCCATATATTAGCAATTTTTGAAGGCACTGTAGTGTTCAACCTCATCAAAATGGTAATGTTGATTGTTCTAGGTGAAACAAATTTATTGGATATAACTTTGATATAAGACTGCATGTAATATCTGCTTATGATTATGTGTATGTGAACTCTGTTTTTTTTAGATCATGCATACAACAAATGTAAAGTAACAAATGTGCTGTGGATCCAAAATCACAGAAGAAGATTGATAGTTATCAGAATTTATACAAAAATGCTGTTTCATGCATGTCTGGCTTTGTAGTTCTTAGTTATAGCAAATATTGAATGTGAAATCTGTTAAGATATATATATAACACCTAATATTGTTTTTTCGTAAATGTAAAAGATAAAGGTGGTCTGATTATTCCATAAAATTATAAGTTGCTGAGAAATTTATTCCAAAACATACTCACCTCCTCTCACACTACAGCTATTACTTCACTGCTAGGGTTTCCTTCCTTTGCCCATCTAAGCATTGGTCTGATTTTTTCTCGCTTGCTCCAGTCTTTTATACCCCACTTAATTGCCCTTGGTGATATCTGTCTCATAACACTCTCCACCTATATCAGTGCACCATCTATCCTGATACTGTATATGAGCACATCATTCAGATAATGTTATCATTCTTTCTCGACAGAGCCTTCAGGGATAGGTTTCTCTGTACTGACTGTTAGATACAATTTGAGCATTCTTCACGTTACCTAGTTATTTTTGTGAAAAAAAAAGTTTTTTTTGCTTGGCAAGCCAATATGCAGCATAAATTTCCAAATTACCGTTTCAGGCATAGAGGCTAATCACATCCCTCCTATCCACCTCTGATATCTATTCCAGTGTCCCAACCCCCGACATCAAACTCACGATCCATTGGTTCCCAAAATAGATCCCACCCCTATCCAAGAGGCTCCTCCACTCAGTTGCAGTGCCAACAGCGGCAGCAACTACACTATGCCAGTAGGGTTTTGGGGGCTTAGCTGCGAGAATGTCTGGACATATGGAACACCTTTACCACAGATCCATGGATGCTACAGATTCTTGTGTCAGGATTGTTCATTTAGTTCATATCTCCACTTCCATTATCCTCCAACCTGTAGTGTTTTTGTCTCCCACAGATCCTTGGATTTTGAAGCTTTGTTCCAGGATTATCAGAGATTTGCTGGTCAACAGGGCAGTGGAGAGAGTTGACCTAGTTCTTCCAGGGTTTTATTCCCATCTGTTAGTTGTGCCCAAGAAGATGGGAGATTAACATAGGTTAATTAATCTTTCTCCCCTCAAACAATTCTTAGATCTTCCCAGGTTCACGATGGAGTCATTCCCCTACTCTACCTTGGCATTTTTTGCTAGGGCTGTGTATGACCAAATTTAATGTCACTGATGCCTATCTACACATTCCCATAGCAGAGTTGTCTCACCACTATTTGCATTTTCTGCACAAGGGTCAGGTGCTGCAGTTCAAGACTCTGCCCTTCAAACTAACATTGGCACCATATGTGTTCTGCAGAATCATACAATGTTTTTCTCATCACCTCTATTCCCTAGGCCTATGCACACACCATTATATGGATGAATGGTTACTGCTAGCACCATCTTGTCAGTTGAGGGAACGTCATAACCAGATTATCCTTTCAGAAGCCACCAAGGCAGGCTTTATTATCAGAGCCAAGAAATCTATTTTCACTCCAATACAATATATCATCCATCTGGGTGTCTTTTTCACCATGTATCTTAATCAGGCTCAGCCAACTTCCATCCGGCTCCATGCTATGGAACAGGCAGTCAGACTCTGACATCTTCTCCCGCTGCATGGATGGTTATTTCTCTTTTGGGGATGTGAGCGTCACTCTAATCCCTCATTCTTTTGGGATGAGCACACAGAGATCCCTTCATTGACCACTGTGCGACCAATGGACAGTGATACACTGAATTACCCAGACTCCTTATTCAGGATCAACATTTTAGATCTTGAGTGGTGGTTAGATCTTAACAACACTACAATAGGTGTTCCTCTGCTGCCATCTCCTCCTGAGACCCATCTCCTCACAGATGCCTCATTTCAGAGATGCAGTGCATAACGGTCAGGAATTCCAGGGCCTATGGATGGACGACAACG